GCAAACTAACCGCCAGCAGAGGTGTTAATCTGTTTGAAAGATGTCGTCCCTTGAACAGGATTAGCAGACTAGAAAACGATGACCCACTTTCCCCTCTGTGCAAAAGGAGAAGTAGGGCAGCCAAGCAGTCCCGGGATCGCCCGCACTCCGCGTTCGCCGTGTGGGTGATGTACGTGAGCGTGGAATGTGCTGATGCGATTTGTTGGTGGCAACTAGCTACTTATTGTTCCAAATATTTATTCTTGTTCTTCCCATAAGTGCTCAAGGCAGCTCACACAACCTCAATGAAAAACAAACTAAATCTGACACCAAACCGGTAAACATCACAGCCCGAAAGAGCTGGGGAGCGCCTTCCCTCCCCCCAGAGCCAAAAGGAGCCATCCTGAAGAGGGAGCCGCCAAGAAGCCCCTCGCGATCGACAAGCAACTTCCTCAGGAGGAGAAGCCGGAGCGAGCACGGCGCTTGAGGCACTCCAGAGACTGAGAGGCCCTTGCGGAGAGTGATGCGCGGCTTCTCGGTTCACCGCGTTCAGCTTACTTCTTTACTGAGCCTTCCATGAGGGAAAAGGGCAGACTTTGCGGAGGATCAAAGCAGCCCCGAATCAGGGGACCAGGAGAGAGGAGGGCTGGAGGGAATCAGGCGGGCCGTCCTGCTCAGTGCAGGACTCCAAGCTCACCCCCCCCCCCCCGACGGCTGCCTGGGTGCTTCTCGGGTGCCTCCAGTGCGAGAGAGCCCGCCGCCTCCCGTGGTCATTGGCTCCACTGCCCCACTGCTCCAACCGTCCAGAAATTCTTCCTGCTGTCCAGCTGGAACCTGGTGTCCTGCAGCTTGAGTCTGTTACTGCCTGAGCCCTGCTCTCTGGGGTGTCCAGGCAGAGATCCCAGCCCACCCCAGTGTGGCGAGCGTTCAAGCTCCTGAAGAGTGCTACCCGATCGCCTTCAATCACCTGAAGGCTAAGCTTGCCCACTTCTTTCCATCTGTCCTCACAGGGCTTGGTGTCCAGTCCCTGGCTCACCCTCGTTGCCCTCCTCCGAGCCCTTCCCACTCTGACGCCATCTTTCTCCAACTGTGCTGCCCACAACGGGCCGCAGACTCCAGGGGAGGCCAGTCCGGAGCAGAAGGGAACTGGCACTTCCCATGATTCCAAAATGACACTTTATTATTGCAGCCCAAAAGAGCACACCACAGTGTTGACTCATAGTCACCCTGTGAGCTACAACAATTCCAAGATCCTTCTTGCTTGCAGGACTGTTGAGTCAAGTATTCCCTGTCTTGTGACAACGATTTGGTTTCTTTCTCCTTGGTGCAGAACTCGGCGTGTGTCCCTGTGGAATCTCATTCACCCCAGAGCTTCAGCCGATCAGGATCGCCTTGAATCTTGTTTCTGTCTTCCAGGGTGTGGGCTCTTCCGTCCAGTTTTGTGTCCTCTGCTCATCTGATAAGCATCCCCTGCACTTCCCCATCCAAATCATTACGAAAAATGGCGAAGAGCGCTGGGCCCAGGACTGAGCCCTTCAGTGCCCCACTTTTCAGCCCTCCTCAGTTTGAGAAGGCGCCATTTCAGTTTGGGATGGAGATTTGAACCCAATCAGTTGACCCTTGACCCTTTGCCTGTCAATCTTGAGCTGCCATCCTACTCCATCAGCTTGTCCTTCCCCTTCTTCAAGAAGGTCATGGATCCTTTCTTTGGGAGAAGACGTCCCTGTATTAGAAAACGAGCGCTCCCGCCTCCACTTTGGCACCTGGGATCAGCTGGCCTCCTCACTGAAAAGCGGAGCCATCGTTTCTTTCCTCCGGCAGAGAAGGCTCTTCAGCATCCCTCGCCGGCCTCGGTTCACTCCCAGCCTCTGCCTCCCAGACCCCATTCTTGCATTTCTGTGCTCCCTGCCTGTGCTCTTCCTCCGTCGCCTGGCCTTCCCCCCTCTTCCTGGCCATGCCCTGCTTTGCTTCCAGGTCACCCACGAGCATTTTGGGAAGCCTCGGGGCCTCTTCTGCTGCCTTCTCCGCTTCTCCTTGCTGGAGCGCCCCTGCAGTTGCCACGTGCAGGCTGGCCACTCCCATTCTGCCCCCTAACCTTCTGTGTTCTGCCCAGGAGGCTCAGGGAGGCCTGCCTCAAGGAGTCCATCCCCCGAGCTTGAAAGTCCGTCGTGCTGCATGGGGGCAAGAGGAAGTCGTACGAGGGCGGGGAGGGGCTCACTTGCCACGTGGGGGGGGACGCTTCTTCGAGAGATGCTGCTGCGGCGGTCCATGGCCTTGGGGTGGCTTGCGAGGGGTGTCAGACTGCCCCTGGACGGAGGAGGCTGGGTGGGTGTCGTGAAGTCGCCCCAGGCCTTTGGGTCCCGACTCTCGTCTCCGAAGGGGCCGGGGGCCCGCTCCACGCAGCACCTTCTGGAGCTGCTGGCAGAAAGGAGGCATTGTTCGCAAGAGCATAATATGCATCAAACTGGATGACCTCATGGGCTGTAAGGGAAGCCCTGGAACGGAGGCAATGGCGCAACGGGAAGGCCATCGGCTCGGCTCGGGGATTCAGAACAAACCGGCTTGCTGCTCGCGTCAGCTGGAAAGAGGCGGTTGACTGCACAGTGACTTCTCAGCCCGATGTGGAAGGCAAGTTCAGCTCTGGCTTCCACAAAGTGGGGTTTTTCTCTCAGGAAAAGGGCTGCACGAGTAGGAGAGGCCCTTTCTTACCCACGGCACTCTCGCCTCGAGGATTCGTTGAACGTGGTGCTCCTGAAGGTAATGCAGCAGTAACGCCAGTCCTGTTTGAAGTGGAGCTGCGGAAATGAACGGGGCTCGAGCGGAAGGAACCCTGCATGCCGCGCGCTGTCCCGCTGCCTCCGGGCATTTCAGGCATTATCCAAAGAAGTTCGAATGTATCTTCACCAAGTCCAGCACCTAAAATTTTAAATTCCTGACTGAATGTTCATCCAGTGCCACCCGCCACGCCCCCAGCGTTTGCCGAAGCTCAAGACGGGCCTGCCCAAGCGGCCCCGCTCCGCGTGGCTCGGCAAGAAGCCCCGGCTGGCCGGCTGGCGCGGAGGGCACCTGCGGGGCCCGTGCACGTGCCACCCTCGCCTGCCCCGAGGCCCCCCCCCCGCCCTCCCCAGCCATTCCCCGAGGGCGGGAAGGCCGCCGTGTGGGGCCGGCAGGGCCACGTGCCGGTTGAAGTCCCGCCTTTTGTTCTTGCAATGGCACATACAGGAACAGGCAGAGAGGGAAACGCACGGAGGAAAATCCCTCTGCGAGGAAACCGGAAGAAGCCGCTTGCGCAAAGCGCCGGGTTGGATTCCAGAGGCAGAGAAGGCCACCGCCCTGGACGGGCTGGGCAGACCGCCAGGATCAGAGCAACGCCAAGGCCGGAGAGCAACGTGGGCTTTCCCGGCACGAGCGGGCGCTGCAGTGCGGGCACTGATGCGCCGTGCCTGCGGGGTGGAGCGCATGGGGAGAACCGCCACCGCACCATCTCCCAAATGCTCCCTTTGGCCGCTCTCCTGCCCCACAGCCCGAGGCCTGGCCCGTGGTGGGGACGATCCGTGGGGCAGCGACGCATTAGGGGCAGGCCTTACGAGAGAATCCGTGGGCGCTGCACAGGGAGGAAGAGCCGCTTCCGGGCGGCTCCAGCCACCCACGACGGGGCTGGGCTCCTCTCAGGCCCCGTTGCCATGCCCGGCAGGCCGGTCCCCCTCCTCTTTCGCCTGGGCCCTGAGCGGGAGGGCCTCCACGCCGCATCCGGGCGCAGTGGCCAGGCAGCACGCCTGCGGGGCTCCCCTGGCAGCCCCTCAACCCGGCAGCCGGCCCGCCAGGCACCTTCTAATATCGCAGAAGGCAGGGGGAGCGCTTCTGGACTGCAGAAGCCTCTTCCAAGCAGGACGGGCAAGAGCCGCTCTGAACTGGGGCAGGCAGGCGGAAGGGCTCCCGATGTCCTGGCCTTGGGGTCGGCTGGCCAGGGCCCCCAAGAGCCGGAGCCCTGCCTTCTGCTTGCCTGGCTCCCGTCGCCAGCCTGCCAGGAAGTGAGCCGCTCGCCACGATGTTTTTTCAGCCTTGGTACAGGCAGCTTCCGGCCAAATCCTCGCGTTACTCACAGCTCAAGAATGCTTGGCAGGGCAAGGCGGTGCAGGACTGCAAGGAGTGCGGAGAGGCCTCCTGCTCGCTCTCGGCCTCATTCTCCTCCCTCTCCCTGCTTTCCTCCAGCCCCGGGGGACGGATGGGTGGGACGGCTGTCTTGCTGAGGCAGCGCAGCCCGCTGGGAAGGCGTCCAGTGCGTGGCCAGGCCCCCGTGGGTCTCCGGTGCAGCCAGACTGCGAAAAGAGGCCGGCTGTGCCTGACTGAAACTCCCCCTTAACATTTTAATTCAAACCCAAAACAGCTAATGGCCATGACGACAACCAAACCCCAGAGGGGTGTCCCAAAATCACCTTTCAAATGGAGCGACAATATCTTGCATCTCTCCATCAGACAGGCTACATTCGTGCCATCGTTTCCCCGAAACTCTCTTTCCCGTTATTTCAAAAGCTACACTTTCCTTCAGGCACCTTCGCCTCCCATTTTTCAGCTCAGAGATGCACAAGTGAGTGCATCAAGGGGGAGAGCTTTCGGGAAATACATCAGTGCTCTCTGTCGGAAAATAACACTTAGGAAACTGCGCTTCTGCTGCAGCCCTTCCACGAGGAAGGCTTTGCGCTGGAAGCGGCTTCCCCGCAGCTCGAGAGCAAGAATGGAAAGTGTGCTGTCACCACAAAACTCGAAGTGAGGGCAATGATGTAAATCCCCCCAAACCAGCCTTTGTCCAGTCAGCACCGGAGTTTAACCGCCCTTTTGAAAATGCAACTAGTTCTCCTAAACTGGAAAAACATTTCAGACAAGCGCGAGATGCATTTGGCGAGGCGAGAGGCTCGAAAGGTTGCCGGCAAGGTTGGACCAGAGGGAAGTTCTTCATGCATAAATAGAAGGGGCGGCTGTCTCCTCTCTTGCAGAGCTGCCCAGCTGCAAGCAACAGCAAGTGCTCTGGACGCATCAGGGCCCCAGGGACAGCCTAGTAAGTGTGAAATATTTCTATGTACTGCTAATGCATTGTGCGACTCTTGGAGCTGAAAGGCTCGAGTATGCTCCCTTCCTAAGCCACGAGAGCTTTTATAGAACCAATGAAAGGTAACTCTTTAACATGATAATCTGATAACTGCTAATAGTTTGTCCTTACGTTATTCTGATACCTTGCAAAATGCTCTTTTCCTGATTCCTGTAAGATGAAATACAGCAGCTAAGTAATTAATTAAATCAGCAGGGTACTGAGTGGGCATTCAGTGCTGTGCCATGCAGGAGATTTTAAATTCAAGTTAGAAAGGAGGAAGTTCTCATGTCAGGGCAAAACAACAACATACTTCAACATTTAAAGCACAAACGGAAACATTTGCTGAGATAATTAAGCCAAAATGTGGTTGCAATAAGCTTAAAAAGAAAAAAATTCTGCAGAAGCACATCAGCAGAAACATGTTTTCTTTTCATTAAGGAAAATGTGCAGGAAGTCCGGCATGCAATTTTAAATTGTGTTGTGCAGAAACATGTAGGAAAGTCTTATAACCACGTGGTTAACGCAGCAAAGGCTTCTGGCAGTGCACTCTCCCTGCTCAGGACTTAAACGACAACAAGCATCTCTTTGTGTGACTTGTGAGAGATTCTGTGTCTTTTCTCGCTGTCGAGGTATGGCACGCGCAGGAGGTTCCCGCAGCTGGGTCGGAATCGTCACCACGCTGCTCCTTTCCGTTCCGAGCGGGGTCACCGGCTCGCCTCTGGAGGACGACCCCATCTGCGCGGCCGAGGATCTTGCGACGTACAGCATCGCTTTCACGGGGAAGTGGAGCCAGGCGGCCTTCCCCAAGCAGTACCCGCTGTACAGGCCCCCCGCGCAGTGGTCGTCCGTCCTAGGTAAGTGGCGCTCGGGCGGAGCGGAGCCAGCTCGCCCCACACAGCCCGCCGCTCTTCCCTCCGCCCTCAGCGCGGAGCTGCGACTTCATTCCGAGGCAGAGAGACAAGGCGGGCCAGGCCTGTGCAGCGAGGCAACGCTGGTCCCGTCTTCCAGGCAGCCCCCGCGACTGTTTCCAATTGACTGCAGCTGCAAGGAACAGCATACCGAACATCTTCGAGCACTTCGGACAAAGAGGAAAGGAGCAGCCGACAGTAAACGAGGCCGTAAATCCAAAGCAGATGTGCGCTCACTGCCGTGTCTTCCCTGTCACAGGCGTGGCCCATAATTCTGACTACAGCATGTGGAAAGCCAGCGAGTATGCCAGCAACGGCATGCGCGACTTTGCTGAACGAGGCGAGCCCTGGGCACTGATGAAGGAAATAGAAGCCGCGGGAGAAAAAATCCAGAGCATCCACGGCGTCTTCTCGGCTGCGGCCATCCCCTCTGGCACCGGGCAAACCTACACCGAATTTGAAGCGCACTCAAGACACCCCCTGGTGAGCAGGGTCTCTCCCACGCACGAGCAGGTGCCATGGCGGGGGTCTCCCTGGAGGCCCTCCGAGCCCGTCACTTTAAAGGAATGCCGTCCAGGGTGCACTTTGCCTAAGCTTGCACATGCCTAAAATTTTGGGAGGAGGGAGGAGATGCTGCCGCAGGGGCTCCAGGGAGGGGCGTGTCCTTCCGTGGCGTGGCATGGAGCTCTCCGAAACCAGTCCAAGCCGTCGGGGGCCTGTGCCCGTGCAGGCAGAGCCGCCTCGCTCTGGGGAAAGGAGTGGGAGGGGGCTGCTCTTTCAGGACCCCCTCGTGGGAACAGGGCCACCCGTGCTCTGGAGGGGTGAGGGGCCTTCGGGACGGGAGGGGAGCCTCACTGGCCCCATCCTCGGCCCGGGGGGGGGGGGGGGAGAGACCGGCTGCCCCGCGGGGGGTCTCCGGCATCCGCCGCCTTGCCCTCCCCGCCGAGGGCAGAGCCAGCAGCTTCCCCAGAGTGGGGGTGGGGGGCTTCCACTCCGGAGCCAGACTCCGCCGGGGCGGACCGTCCTCCGGAGCTTCAGCAGGAGGCTTCCGGGGCCCACGCCCTCCTGCAGCCGGCTGAGCCTCCCCAGCGGCACTGCGCTCGGGGTGGGGCGGAGGGGGGGGGGCAGCGCACGCCACCTGCTGCCTGCCCTGTTGATGGCATTTAAAATACCGCTGGTAAAGAAACGCGTCGCTTGATTAGTTGCAGAGCCCTCTTCAGTTGCGCTGACTGACCGAATCGATCGATTAAAGGTGAAACCCCCATAAGAATGGATGCGTCGCTGCAAGTCAATGAAAAATCTGGGTCCGTGGCGGCCCCAGAGTTTCATACGACTTCTTAGGAGGCTGCTAAGTTCAAAGCATAATATGGCAATAGTTCAAATCATATCTTAATTGCCATAAACCACTTTGAATGGCATAGCAAAGCATTATATGCATCTTATCATATAAAAATAAAGACAGATTATTTTCATCCCAAAATATGTAATATTTCCAGAAGATTGATTCACGGGTTTATGGACATCAGTACTTGCGGCACACTAACCTCCTCAGCACGGGCCCTGCCTCAGCCGCCGCCTTCTCGATTATTAGGTGTCTCTTGCGGTACGGATCGTGCCCAGCCCGGACTGGTTTGTGGGCATCGACAGCGTAAACCTGTGCGACAAAGATCACTGGAAACAGCAACTCACGCTTGAGCTGTTCCCGTACGACGCCGGAACCGACAGCGGCTTCACGTTTTCTTCCCCAAACTTCGCCACCATCCCACAGGAGACGGTGACACCGGTGAGTTTCTGCTGCCCACCCACGAGCCAAGTGCGTTGCTTCATTTTTTTAAAATTGTGAGCATCATTACAGACGTATCTGTGATGGGTGCAAACTGTTGCAGGATGGCTGCCGTTCCCTTCTGGATCTACCACAAGGAGATTTTAAGCTTTTGCTGGCCTTGGTTCACCAGGGCTTGCCTTGTCATCCAAACCTGGAAAATGGGGGCTATTTTTCGTGGGAACAAGCTAGCTTTAAGCCATGGAGCTGGTTTATATCATGGGTTTTTCAACCCATGTTCAGCAATGGCACCTGTGGATGCCAGTGGAGAGTGCCATATTGTGTGAACCCAGTGAGCAAGGGTTGTGTGAAGGTTATATGAAGTAACCCATGTCCTGTTCCTGGTAGGCAGAGATGCAGTATAATAAATTCTCCCACCTATTAAAGTCCACTTAATTTTTACAGTATCAGGCCAGCTGGGATGCATTTTCATTAACAAGCTTAACCTCAGCAAAGATCTCAGCATTCAGACTTCTGTGCACACAAACGGCCAAAGAAGGAGTTCCTCACTGAAGAAATTGAGCAGCCTGTCGGCACACAACCGAGCACCCGCTTCCCATAGAGTTCATTTTCTTGTCTTGTTTTCCAAGCAAGCCCATGCCGTGTGTGTTGTAACCCCTCACCTAACTGGGGTGGTGCATTTTCATTAAGGCCTGAGCCTTAATCAAGGCAAACTCACCCGGTTTCCTTCTGCAGAGCCAGATGGATGGAGTTTGGTTGCAGCTTTTACAGTATGCTTTACGGTTGGTTCCATCAATCCAATACATAAATAATAAATGAATCACTGTTCCCCATTCTTGCCCCTAGGGCTTTTTGAAACCCCAAACTAGCCCAGCTAGAACAGCTGGAGTGAAAGAGCAAACATCTGGAGCACAGGGGGTTTCAATGGGATGCAGAGGCTGAAACCCCAGGCGAGCTCATGTGACCTTTTGCTGCAGGTCCCACTTCAGACACTCGGAAATAACAACCCTTTTTGCATTTTGGTCAACAGATCACTGCTTCCTCTCCGAGCCACCCAGCAAACTCCTTTTATTACCCCAAGCTTAAAAATTTGCCCCCGATTGCCCGAGTAACCATGATAAAACTCAAAAAGAGCAAACTGGGTTTCCCCATTCCACAACACAATGTGACAACAACGGACAATGAAATCGACGATTCTGTCTCAAGTAAGTGCTTGATGCTCGGCCGGGGGCTCCTGCATGCCACGTTTTGGGTGCATGTGTGAATGGTGATTGCACAAATTCTTTTCTTAATCCAAAGCTTGCTTGCTCTTAGAACTCTCATTTTTCTTTAAAAAAATGCATAGCAGTAACTGAATTTACATTGCATATGAAAGTTTTGAAATATCTATCTATCCATCCATCCATCTGAATCTCCAGAAACAGCACTTTAGATAAGAGCTCACAAGCAACCCTGTCGTCATTGCAGGGTTGTCCATAGTTCACAAGAATTTGCGGGCGGGCGATGCGTCGCGTGGTCGTTCAGCTCTGGGGGACAGGGCTGATGGCTGACCCTGGAAAGTTCTAGCCCACTTTTTATTCCAGAGAGCAGCTCAGCTGGAGTGGAGAGACCACGAGGGGCGAGGGAGCAGGGCTGGGCCAGGCCAAGTGGCGTGGAGCTGGAGTGCCCAGCGGGAGCCCTGGGTGATCCGGGATCTCTGCGTAGCGAGGCTACCTGACTGCAGGCGGCCCCGAGCTTGGCCGCAGCCTCCCCCTGGGGCTGCCGTTGTGAGGATGAACTGGAGCTCCGCGAGCCGCCGTGGGCCCCATAGTTCCACCAGGCAGCTCCAGTGCAGTGGCTCGTCCCTTCCGGCTGGCCTGCTCGCTCGCTCATGCGCAGAGCGGAAACAGCGGGGAGGCGCTCGGCTGCTCTCCGGGGTGAGGAATTGGAGGCAGAATCCAAAGCAGGCTGGATGGGCCTGCGTGTGGAGGCCACTGTGTCTGCGGTTTGGTCCCTGGAAGGCCCCACAGCGGCTGTGGCAGGAAGCGCCTTGCTCCAGCCGTGACCCTCCTGCGTGGCGGCAGCCTGGCCACTGCACGGACCACCACAATATTAGACACGGGGCTTCCCTGGGCACCTCAGCTGTTGTCAGATCCCTTCACTGCTTTGCCGTCTGGACGTTTTTCCTTCAGGGAGCCCAGGGTGGCTTCACAACCCTCTCGCTCCTTTCCTTTCATCGTCAAAGCAGCCAAATGAGGCAGATCGGGCTGAGCCTCTGCACCTGGCCATGTTCCCCTGGGAACTCTGTGGCCAAGCAGGGCGCGGACCTGGCCAGAGGTTCCAGCGAGCGCCAACCCGGGTCCCACCTGTTCCAAGGCTTCTGAGTGAAACCGGCCAAACAGAAAACCGCTTGCCAGCCCTTAAGCCTCTTCACCAGCCCAGTTCGAAGCCCTCGTGCTCACCTCAGAAAAGCAAGCCAGGGCCCAAGCCGCACCCAAGCAGCTGCCTCTAGACCAGGGATGGCGAACCTTTTAGAGACCGAGTGCCCAAACTGCAACCCCAAACCCACTTATTTATCCCGAAGTGCCAACTCTACAATAAAACCTGAAAACTGAGGTTTTAATTTAGAAAAAACACCTCACAGCCAGCCCAAGCAATGCCTACATATCCCTGGCAGCGCACTGACCGGCCATGCGAAAGCCAGGGACGAGCCGCGGCTGGTGAGTCGCGGCTCGGGACGTCATCGCCTGGCGCCGCTACTCCTGTCCGAGCGTGCGCACGGCCGCACGTGCGCTGTTATCCGGCGCTCGGCTGCTGGCGGTGCTGGGGGAGCTGGCCCACGTGCCGCCAGAGGGGGCGCTGCGTGGCCGCTGCGGCACACGTGCCGTCGGCTCGCCACCCCTGCTGCAGACCAACCTGGACGCCACTTTCAGGCCTCCGCTCTCCCTTTGCCTGCTTAGAGACGTCCGTCCCACCTTTAGAAATGAACGGTGTTCGTTCTGAAGGCAGGATGCAATAAAAGGAGTTCAAGCAAGTATAATTTAGCAAATATATACAAGGCAGTCTAATCTTTCCATTTCTGTTCTTTTAAATCGGCTACCTTGTTTTAAATCTCTGCACTGTGCTTAGGTTTTGCTTTGGCTTTCAGTTTTCATTTGTCCTGTAGCTGTAAAGGGTGATATGTTATGGTGTTGTATTTTAGGGTTTTAATCGTGGTGAGCCAGGCATTGGGCATTGTGCAGCACAGGAAAGAATGAAGGAATGGTTAAAACTAAGGGCAGAATCTAATCAGACCACCTTCTGAACTTGCCCATGTGGGATTCCCATTTATGAGGCCGACAGGGGGTGAGCAGGGGATCCACAAGATCCGAGGGCCACCACGAGGCTGCTCAGCACTCAAAGGCCGCCCTGCAGGAAGTCTAAACACTCGAACCAGCCGAAGGGGGTGGGTGGCGGCGGGGGGGGCGCTTCAGTGGGGGCTTGTGGGGGCTGACCTCTTTCCAGCAGCCGATGGACGCTTCTAAGACCTCGGCCAGCCTCCTCGCCCGCCGCCAAAGCTCGAGCCAAGCACTGCCGGCGGAGGCCGCGAGCGCCGGGGCCCGTCGCTCTTCCAGGCGCTGCACGCCGCGGGACCGGGCGCAGGCAGCACGAGGGCCGGGGCCGCACCGAGGCCGGCGTGCAGTGCCCCGCGGCGTGACCCGAGCGGCCCTCCCGCGTCTCTCTCCCCGCAGAAACGCCGCTGGACTGCGAGGCGTCGCCCTGGTCGCCGTGGGGCTTGTGCCGGGGCCCCTGCGGGCGGGCGGGCGCCAAGCGGAGGACGCGCTACGTGCGCCTGCAGCCCGCCAACGGCGGCGCCCCCTGCCCGCCGCTGAGCGAGGAGGCCGAGTGCCAGCCGGGCCGCTGCCCCTGAGGCCGCGCGGGCGCCGGACGGGCGGGCGCCGGGCCGGCGTGCCGTGGATCGGGGCCGGCGCGAGGCTGCCCGCCGTCGGACCGAGGAGCCTTCCTGCAGCGCCCCCTGGCGGCAGGCGCTCGAGCAGGCGCGTGGCTCGGCGGCCAAACCCCCGTCTCTGCGCGCAAGCCGCCCCTCTGCTCTCGCAGGATCAGACCGCGCCTTTTGGGAAAGCGTTCGTAGCCGCTGCGAGATATTGCTGTCTGTCGCGCTGAATTATTTGCTTAGAATGTACTGGGATGTATGCTGTGCTCCTTGCAAAACCAAAACGAAACAAAGCAAAACAAAACAAAACCCAGACGCTGCAGCTCGCCGGGAATAAACTAGCGAAGGCGCTTGCTGGGACGACGTGTGCAGGCCTGTCCTTCGCCCACTCGCACACAAGCAGCGTGTGCCCTTCCTCCTCTCCAGTTTCCTCCCTTACCTCTTTGTGTACACAGACCATGGTTTGCCTTTCAGTTAGAGCTGGAAACCATGACTCTGGTGCGCCCGCAACTGGAGTATTGTGCTCAGTTTTGGGCCCCTCATTACAGAAAGGATATAGCCAGGTTGGAGTCAGTGCAGCGCAGGGCCTCAAGGTTGGTGGCCGGTTTGCAGGGGATGGGGAACGAGGTGAGACTGAGGGAACTGGGTCTCTTCAGCCTGGAGAAGAGGAGTCTCAGAGGGGATCTGTTGGCGACATGCAGGTAAGTGAGGGGGTGTCACACGGAGATGGGTAGAGACCTGTTCTCCCCTGCAGAGGAAGGCAGGATGCGCTCCAACGGAGCAAAGCTCAGGGAACCCAGGTTCACTTGGGATGCCAGGGAGCACTTCCTGACAGTCAGGACCCCGAGGGTGTGGAATGGGCTTCCCCGGGAGGTGGTTGAGGCCCCATCGGTGCGGGTGTTCAAAGATAGGCTGGACGTCCACATGGTAGGCATGTTGTGAGCGGAGCCGGCTGGAGCCGGGGGTCAGACTAGATGGCCCTGGAGGCCCCTTCTGACTCACTCTGTTTCTGTGTTTCTGTGCTTGTATTCAGTCCCCCATTCCATAACCATTGAATGAGGGCAACTTCTCAATACTTAAAGCCAGAATGTTATAGCAAATGCATGTTTGCATCACCTGGGAGTCCTGAAAGTGATTGGCATTGACACCAAACTAAAGCCAAGCAAAGCAGCACACGGGGAATAGGAGCACCCATTCCCTCCCTTTCTTTGTACACGTGGAGAAACAGGGTTGCCACTCATCTCTCAGGATGGGATTCGCACGTTCGGACAGAGGCCATATCTAAACGCCCCCTGGGCTGGCAGAGCCGGCCAGCAAGAGGTATTTGTGGGGGGTCTGTTCTGGAACCACGACTGTGCCTGGGCAAACCTGTGCCCACTCCCACAGAAAAGGACAGGATGCCTTTGCGGAAAGGAAACGGGCACTGTCCCTGCCGGGCACACGTGCACAACGCCGGCTGTCCTGGCCTTGTGGCCTCTCAAGTCGGGCCTCGTGCTTCTTTAGCGTGGGCCCCCACTTGACCAGATGGCCGGAAGCCGAGGGAAGCCGCGACGGAAAAGAGGAGCGTGACTTCAGACCGTGTGGACGCCCGCGTCAGTTCCTTGGCCAAGGCTGGCGAGGGGAACAGCTGTGCTTCCCGATCCTCCGCTTAGACAAGACCTGCATCTCCTGCGAGCCCGCACTGCCCAAAGGACATCACGATGCGCCTTCAGCCACGCTTCTCCTCACGACAGATTAGCCCGTATGCAGCCACACCAGCGTGCGCTGAGTGTTAGTGAGCACACAGGAAGTTTCTCTGCTTCACTGGTGCATGCAGCATCCAGATTTTAAGAGCGCTATCCGCCCCTCCTGAGCTGGGTGCCAGCAGCCCAGCTGGGGGGTACCTGTGGCGGGCTTCTGTATTGGTCTGCCACACTGGGGCTGGGGAGGATTCCCACCGCAGGCCAGACGGACCGGACAGTTGCCTTCCTGTGCCGCGTGTGGCCGCGCTTGCTTCCTCAGCCTGTCAGAACTGCAGCTCACCTGCTCCCTCCCGGGTTCTGGTGTGCTGCCCGTCTGTTTCCCTCCCTGCAGCAGGGATGTTCTCCAGAGGATTCCATCCAGCATCCAGAAATATCACCTGATGACTTCTGGGCTCCTTCGACTCAGCCTGGAAAAATGGCGGGCTCCGTGGAGGCTTTTCCTGCCTCGACAAAACAAGGCCGGGGTTGTACTTCTCAGCCTGACCTTTCTGAAGCACCCATTCGCACCTTTTTAAAGCAACTCCCAGTAAGCGTGGAGAGCAAAAATATTCGGCATGAGGTAGAATGAACTCATTGTAAGTCACGGTCTCGCATTCCAGCTGGGGAAACAATCCGAACATGCGCTACCCAACTGTAAAAATAAAGGCCATACGTGCATTTGGGAGGGCCGGAGAGCTTCAGCCGAGTGTCCGTGCAGCAGAGCGGCTGGCCTCACACGCGGGCAGGGCGGGGCACTCCAGCCACGCTCGCCCAGCCGCAGGCCTGACGGGCCGGGCCCGGACGGCCGCCTGCTCTTCGGTGTCAGGACCACACCAAAACTGATGCCGATTTACAGAGGTTCTTCCTAAGCGGCTTTCCCAGCTTGCACAAATATGTACAGGACAACTTCTGAAAATTGAAATATCCCTAAGTAAAGATAGGAGGCCATCGGCCTGTGCCACGTTGCTCTGAATCCTGCAGAAATGCCCACCCTGTGCCTCGGTGCTGGAATGGGCTTTTTTCTATATGAGTCTTTAATTCTGGTTTGAGTTCTGTGGAGCAAACGCAAATGATTTTTATTGTTTTGAATGTTAATCGACAAGTTGCTGTTGTTATCATTTGAGTTGCATTCAAGCTCCACATTTTTCCTCTTGCCAGCAACGCAACATGGCCCCCCATGGAGCTCCACGTTCTCCCCACAGGGGGGCGACTGGCCAGGGGCCCCCCAGTGGCCAAGCAGGGCTCGGATCCAGGTCCTCTGAACCCCAGCCCCGCACCCCAGCCGGCACGCCACACCCCCGAGAAGACCACCCATGCCCTTGGGGCTTGGTGCACCAGCAAGAGGGGTCCCCGTGATTCCAGAATCGCGGCTTGTCCCGGCGGGGCAGCCTTCCCCTCAAAGGATCAGCTTCGCCTCCTGCACGTATTCCCAATCCCAAGCTGCACGGCTGCCCCGCCAGTCTTTTCCCCAGGTTGACCAGCTCCCCAGCTCCGGCCTCCCCGGACAAGGACACAGCGCCCCAGCTGGCTTGGGGCGCTCTCCGCGTGGGGCTGCCTCTGAGGCTGGCCTGGGAATTGGGATCTGTCCCGCCGCCCCAAAACGCAAGCCAGCTCGCTTCTCCTGAGCTGATCTGCCAGCCGCAAAGCCTCACCCTGCCTGGCCCAGGAAGTGCCGCCACAGCACCCCCACGGTGTGCGTGCCGTGGCCAGTCACCGCTTCCCACAAGCAGCACTTGACCCCCAACTTTGCACCCTCCGGCTCTTTTGCACCATCACTGCCACCGGCCTCCAGCCAGCCATGCCCTTTGGGGGATGCTGGGAATTGTAGTCTGACACCCTTGAAGAGCACCAGGTTGGGCAAGGCTGAGCTGACCTGCGACGAGGCCCCAAGGCTTCAATTTTAGGGCAGCTTTTTCCTTTCAAGCAAGTAGATTGTTTGTTTAAATAAAAGCAGCCAATGGATGCGAGGATTCACTGAGATGTGTTAAAATTTGGAGTGACCTTTCCTTCATCTGCAACTGACCTTGAACAAAATCAGTGCTTTAAGAAACCGGAGCACCCAGAAATATAACTAATGCTGTGATATTAAAGCTGACTGACTTACAATAGGCACTTTAGGATAAAAAAGCATTAAAAGACCTTTCGCAGTGGGTAAGTTATAGCTAATCAGTGAGCATATACAGGAACTGCTTGTCCAAAAATTTACTGTGTGCTTGTTTGCCATATAAACACACATCTTTGGGCTGTTATGGCTCAATACCAACTCCTGCCATTTTCAGTTTGTTATTTTTCATTGGTACAATAATTAAAACTGTATTTACAAATACATTATTGTTTGCAATTATATAGTCAGAATTGCTTCCAGTAATGCAATTCATTCTGGTTTTAAATCCCCCTGTTTATGGAACCCCTCATCTTGCAGGATATGCATTGCAAGAACAAAACGCCTGCGAGGTCTGTTTGGCGAAGAAAGAAGTCGTCGGCTGGCTTTCCGTCTAGGAGAAGCGCACCCGTGGGAAGGCACACACCCCAGTGAAGCACCGGGCTCATTTAAGGGCCGTTTTCAGAGGACCCTTTCTTATCTTAAAAGACCCAAAGGGGCCCTTCCTGATTTCGGTGGAGACCAGCACGCACCCAGATGCACGCAGGCTCCTTATGCAGGCCGGTCCCTTCCCCCCCCCACATCTGGGGCAGCCTTCCCCAGCCTCGCCCTCCCTCCCCAGATGCTTTGGACGGCAGCTCCCAGCACTCCCTTGCTGGCTGGGGCTGATGGGCATTGAAGCAGGGTGCAGGCCAGAGCGAAGGAGGCCAGGGGTTGAGCCAGGGAGACTCTTCCCTCTGTGAGTTTAAATGGAAGGCCCGGCACGGTGCGTTGCGGTACAGGAGTGATAGTGGAATCTCTTTCGTGACAGGTGAGATTTGGGGACGGGGTTAACACATAGAAGCCTGGGAGCCAGGCAAGGGACTGTGGGGGGCACATGGACTTCCCCTGCAGCTACAAACCCCTTCCTGTCCCCCCAAATGTCAAACAGGGATCTTACGGTTCCAGTTTTGCAACTTGGTGTGTCTTGGTGTGTCACGAGCAGCTCCCAACCTCATTCCCCCGCTTCTTTCCCCCTCGCCCCCTTTTCTGTCATCTTTTCACTCACGTTCTTGGCAAGCTCCCAACCCTCCAGACCTACGTCAGGCTGAAAGCTTTCTGAAAGAGAGTCACCTTTGCCTGCCAGTGGAAGGCGAAAAGAGGAAGCCAGTCCT